TCCCCAAGAGCTGCTGTTGGCAGGAGAGGCTTCTGTCCAGAGACAAAAAGGACTGTTAGTAAAGACTGGAATTCATGCTGAACGAGCCTTTCTAGACCGTATTCATCACAAACTGTCATGTGCCCCATAGCATAATAACTAATGTGACTAACACATCACATGCTTCTTTCCCCACCCTGTCTTTGGAAGAGAAGCATGTGCATGGACGTTTTGTATTCATTTCTATTTTCGTTTAATAACGCACACATGGATCACCACATTTTGCTAGAAAAGGCCAGGCTGGAGCCAAGTACTTTCTGCTGGAAGACACACTTTTGGGTCAGTTCTCAAGAAAGTTCTGTTGCAAGAATCTCCATCTGGTTAAACTTTTAAAAATTCACCCCCACACCGAGTTTTATAAGACAAAAAAAGAGGGGGAGAGGAAATTTCCACTCCCACTAGCTTATGTTTTCTCTTTCTGCTCTTTGCGGCAAGGGGACTCCTAGTATAGACTGCCTAATCTGCAGTGTTATTTGGAAAACATAGGGTTGGGAAAAAATAAGCCCAAGCAGGACTATCTACAGCTATCTTCTCCCCTCATCCTTTGTATGCACCTACCCTTAAGGCTCAACAGTCTCCATAGGGAAAACGAAGCACCTTAGTTAATGATAAAACATACAGTAGAAGACAAGAGTCGAGCGTTTACCCAGCAGCAGCGCAGCATTACAGCAGACACTCTGCCAAAGGGAGATCATTGCCTTCCTTACACCCCCAGGATTCATTGTCTCTTAGCCTGGGAACCTGTCTCTGTTCCCAAACATGGATATTTTTTTTGGCAGCAAGACGGAACAAAAGGCACAAAGAGAACTAAGAAAACCCTTTCAGTGAAGCTGTAGTCTTTTTTTCTCCTCCTGTTCCCCTAAGGACGGGAAACCTAGGGGTAGCTGAGAACACACACAATCCTGCCACCTTCCTGGAAGGTGCTCAGTGCTCGTAGGCACCCTAAAGGAATGAGGGTGCTTGTAGATTCCAGCCCAGCCTTTGACCTTGAAAAATGAATCCCTTACCTTTAGCACCAAAAATACCACAAGGTTTTGAAAATGAAATCACTGTTATATTTGAGTGGGTGTGTTATTTCGAGACAGCACTAATGCGATTATAAAATCAGTTGTGTCAGCTTATTGGCTCAGCTACAGACACTGATCTGCTCGAGCGTCTGTTCCTCGAACCGGCTGCTCGCGGTAGGGTGCTTTGTCCCTCCTCAGCTCCACACAGAAATAGACGTGAGCTGGTTCCCACTGGTGCACCAAAGAGAAAGAATCCCCTTCTTCTTGCACTTGCCCACCTCATCTCCATGAAACTTGGCATTTCCAGAGCACAAACACGAGCACAGCATCCTCCCAGCCCATTGAAAGGCCATAACCCTTATATATATATATGTATATATATATATGTCCCTTCAGCCCTAGCCCCACACAGGCTGGGGTCCCTGTTTCCAAGCGACAGCAGC